CAATGAGATGGACGGACAATGATGAGCCCAAACAGAACACTTGTGAGGACAGCATTAGGCCAGGCCATGTTTTGGTCTCCTTGAGTCAGAACTCACTGGAGGGCATCTGTTTTATCTTAATTTATGTTTTCTATTTTACTTCTCTATCTCTATAATTTATCTCTCGGTTCTAATACCCACTGCAATGGCTACAGAGACACTCACAGCCAAATTCAAGGGCGTATTGAGTGTTGATTAAAGGGTTTATTAAGGGTGTTAACAAGTTGTCATGCTAGTGAGGAGTGATCGGGGTAGTTGTTTACCAGTACGTGCTATAAAGTTTCAGGTCTGTTAACGAATGCCCAAAGGGGCACACCACTCTGCTATGAGCTTCAACCCATAGGCACGCAGCTTCACTTCTGTGGATGGGCAAGCCCAACCTCATGAATTAAATACCTAGAAGCCCCCTCCTCCACAAGACAGCTTCCTGCACAAAAGCACTCATTTTAACTTGCTCTTTGGGTTGGGAAGTCCATCATTCTGTTCCATGCCTGGCTGCTTGTTCTTTTCTGCTCCTCTGTTGGGAGAGGTGTCACCTGGATCCCGTAGGTTCACTGTGCAGGGCTCTCAGGCTCTTGCTGATAATGAAATCTCTCCTGCTTCTCCGAGGCGTCATTTTATACATGCCAGGCTGGTTCTCCAAGGAATCCCTTTCTCAATTACTCACAACTGGGTCCTATCAATATCTTCCCCCCACCTTCTTACCATGCAAGGTAGATTGTTTTGTGGGAGTTAAACAGTTTGCTGGAAGGGCCACATTAAATAATTCACGACCCTTGCAGCATCTGGCAACAATAACAGGTTTCGCAAACCTGAAAATTCAGGAATTCTTTGAAAGAGCTAGGTTTAATTAAAGTCAATGAATACTTGCTCACTGCCATCGAGTTGATTCCAACACATATGACCCTATAGGACAGAATAGACTGTCCCGGTGGGTTTCTAAGAGTTTAACTTTTTATGTCAGCAGCAAGCCTCACGTTTCTCCTTCAGAGTGCTGGTGGTTTGATGCGTCTTCACAGTTAGCAGCCAGGCTTGTGGCCCACTACAACACCAGGGCCCCTAAAGTAAGGTGACCAGACGTTCCACTTTTGGTGGGACAGTCCCAATTTTTAACAATTTGTCTCGCGTTCCGAGGCATTTTAAAAAAGACCTGATTTTTGGAAAGAATGCACGACAAGCTAGGGTATACGTTTTCAGCTGCCATGTGGCTACTTCACCAGGATATGAGTTTTATCAATGGTGTCCCGCTGTACCAATGTTAAAATCTGGTCACCTTACCTTAAAGTCCATAACACCACCACAACAACAACAAAAGCAAAAAAATAAGCAGGAGAACAAAATAGCTCAGAGATATATGTGACTTAGTCGTTTTACCTTGCAGTAGTCGTGTTTAGGACCAATGACTTATGAATCACTAGAACACTCCTCTAGCTATGAGGAGCCCTGGCTGTGCAGCCGTTACTTGTTGGACAGTGATCATTGTTGCCAGTTTAAAACCCCCGGAAGCTTCAGCAGGAGAAAGACTGGGCTTTCTACTCTCAGTAATACCTACGTTCTGAGAAGCCCACAGGGCGTCACTGTGAGTTACAATGACTCCATGGCAGAGTCTGGCTTTCGGTAGTGATACTACTGTACGTTTGCACCTACTTAACAGTGCTGTCTCCTTCTTTGATTCATTTATTTGAGTCACATGTTCATTCATTCAAGGATTATTTATTAGTGAACATCTACTTTGCAAAGTACTGTGAAATTACAGGATGCACTGCATTTCGCAGATCTGCTGCACAAGACCTCTTTACAGCGCTAACCAGCAGAAAGACCCGTGGTATTTTCAGTCACCTCATTCGCGTGTGAAAACTGGGTAATGGATAAGGAAGATCAGAGAAGTGTGCATGCATGCATTTGAACGATGGTGCTGGTGAGGAATATTGAAAATACCATGGACCACAAGAAGAACAGACTTCTGTCTGGAAGAAAGCACAGTGAGGGTGCTATTTAGAATTGATGGTGACCAGACTTTATCTCAAGGACTCTGGGAAATTCATCGGGAGAAATCAGTCCCTGGAGAAGGACATCATGCTTAACAAGACAGAGGGCCAATGAAAAAAAGGAAGACCCTCAAGGACATCAACTGGCACCGTGGCTGCAGCAGTGGACCCAAACAGCGGAACGACTGTGAGGCGGGGCGGGACCTGGCAGGGTTGTGCACAGGGGCGCTGTAAGCTGGAACGGACGCGGCAACATCTAACAATAGCAATCATTACACTCGTCTGCTTAGTAGCTTACAGTTTAGTAGAGGGCATTAAATTTGCTGGAAAATATTAACCTAATTTTTCAATTAGCAAATGCATTTCTCTTAAAAGCTGTTCTGCCGCTCCAGCTTTGGAGAAGGGTTTCATGGCCACGTGAGGGTCCCCGGGAGCAATAAGGCACGGCCTAGCAGTGGAGAAGTGCACAGCACACAGCTTTGTCGGCTATGCTTTAATTATAAGGCAGAGTGAAAGGTAATTACTCATTAGGAGGCCGTAAGAGCAGTTTCCACACGAAGAGGGATTACTCTGCGTCTGGACCACCTAGCAGGCCTCGTGGAGGCAGCACGTTCATCAGGACTCCAGACAAGACGCTGACTGGCAGGGACCCAGCAAAGGGCGAGGCTAGGAAGGTCTGGTATGAATGGTCTTGCAAGTATTGAAGGACTGAGGGACCCAGATTGTGAGGCCAGACTAAGGAGGTTGGACTTTTTTGGTAACCAGTGAGGGCTTTTGAGAAAGAGAGGGACTGTGTTGTGGGAAATCCCTCTGCCAGCATTTTGAAGCATGTTTTTAAGAGGCAGGAGTTACAGTAATGTACTGTCAATAGCTATCATCTTGGCAAACAATGGTGATAGTGCGAACAGAGACACTAACAGTGAGGCTGGAAAGACCGATTACTGGCCAGTGGTTTGATCATCATTTTGGTGTCTCCATAGTGACTCTCAGGAGGAGGAGGAGGGCTCCAGAAGCTAGCCTAAGATGACAATGGGTTTTGCTTTTTCTTTCTATCTGTGTGAGCTTCTTCCATCTGCTAATGCTTAATAAGTTTCTCCCCATCATTTGGATAATAGTTGGATAATATCAAGGAGGAATTATATAAAAATATCTGCAAGGATATTTCCTGGAGGTATTCAAAATGTCAATCTCTGGTTCAGGAGGGGAAAAAAGTGCCAAGAAGCAACTCTTCTCAGAAAAGCTTCTCTTGCTATAATTCCTTATGATAATTCCAAACTTCGAAAAGCTGTAAAGACTAAAGTTATTTTTTTTAGATAAGTTTATCACCAAAAATTCATTTGGTGACAAGAGCTGACACCAACAAGTGTGGGGCTGTGTATAGCCTTTCTGTACCCCACTTACGGCCAGCACTCATTCTTTCACCACAGAAATATCAGTGTGCCTGAACCCAGGATGGTGAGCCAAATTGTACTTGGGTTTTTGGTCTATGGTCTATGAAGCATTTTTTGTCTTCTAATGATTCAAACAAAAATAAATTCTGAAACATAGTTGGCTGAAACGTTTTAAACGCACCATTGTGGACCTGTATCAAGACCTGTATTAGTTCATTTTACATTTTAACAAAGCGTTTGGCACTGAATATGACATTAACAGACGCCTGTTTTCATCAGAAAATTTTGAAGAATTAAGTATTCCTAATAAGCAGCTTTTCCATATTCCAGTGAGCTTTGCTATTAACCAGAAGTTTGGTAGTTTGAACCTTCAGTGGGAAAAAGGTGTGGCACTAAAGACTGCAGCCTGTCCTACAGGGTCCCAGTTGGAATAAAGGAAAACAGGCGTGTGTGAGTGTGTGTCCCACACACAATAATATTTAATACGTTTCTTCACAAATCTTGGCTATTAGACTGACATACTTGATCAAGTCCCTTAAAATGAGCCAACGCACAGGATCCAACACAGAGCAAGCATTTTCATAAATGTTCTTTATAATTATCCTGCCTCTTTCATCAACAAAACATTTTTTAAAAGCATGTGGGAAAGTGTTGACGTAGTACTTTTCACGCTCCGAAAATGCAAAGGAAGGACGTCCTCACTTGTGGATGAACGTGGAAGCAAACGGCAGAAAGAACTCCCATGGCACTAGCACCCGGCCGCCCTGCTTTTGTGTCGGCGGTGGGGACCTTACTGGCTGCCTGCGGGGGCCAAGCAGCCCGTCTGGGCTCGCCCCTTCCCTTTGCACAGCCTCCACGAATCCTGCTTCGAGGAGTCTGCAGTCGGGACAGACCCAGAAGGTCTTCCCCCCC